CATGTATGAGGAATATCTACATGGCAAAATAGAACTGTAGGCCTCAGGAAAGTTACAAATCACTTCTGTTACCGAGAAAGCAATTTGGTATCAGTCTCCTCTGGAAGTCAATGAAGGAGAAGAACAGCATGAGATGAGAGTAACCTCAATTCTCAATGAATTCCAAAGATGAACTTTTTAATTACTGTTCTTATTTTTTAAGCTCAGAATTGGACTCTGTACTTATGCAGGTCCAGACTGCAAATTGCACATTGGCCAATCTTCCATCCCTGCTGTGTGGAAGGCACTGCGGGGGTGAGGAGGGCAGAAAGATGACAGACAAGGAGGTCTCCAGGAATTTACAGTGATATGGAGGGTAATGAGTACACCTCTGAAGAGATACAGATGCAGGCCAGGGCTGTGGGGGGGGTGTGTGTGTGTGTGAGAGAGAGAGAGAGAGTTAGAGATGAGGACTAAGGAGACAAGGGAAGGATTAGAGGAGATGGTATTTATTTATTTATTTAATTTATGAATGATTTTATTTATTTATTTGACAGAGAGGCACAGTGAGAGAGGGAACACAAGCAGGGGAAGCAGCAGAGGGAGAAGCAGAGGGAACACAAGCAGGGGAAGCAGCAGAGGGAGAAGCAGAGGGAGAGGGAGAAGCTTCCTGCTCGGCAGGAAGCCCGATGTGGGGCTCCATCCCAGGACCCTGGGATCATGACCTGAGCCAAAGGCAGACGCTTACCGACTGAGCCACCCAGGCGCCCCGAGGAGTCTGTAGCTCTTTAAATACAACACAATACAACTGAATTAGAAATTCAGTTCCTCAGCTGCAATGGCCCCCTGTTAAGTGCTCATTAGCCCCTTGTGGCTCGTGGCTCCTGTATGTGACAACACAGATATAGGACATTTCTGTCACTGAGAAAGCTCTGTAAGGGCTGTGCTTGCCTAGAATTTGGCTATGTGGAGATGGGAAGGCAACTCAGGGGAGGAGGCAGCAAGAACAGGCAGGAGGGCTTGAGGACAGGGCAGCAGTGGGAGATACAGGGGAAAGGGAAATTGGAATCCATTTCTGAAGGACCTGAGGTACGAAGAGCAGCACCTTTCTTTTTTCACTTAACAAATATATCCTGGTGATCATATCAGTAGATAGAGCTTGTCCTTATTCCTTTCTACAGCTGTGTAGCACTCCACCACTGAACGTAATTTATTCCATGAGCACCTCTTGATGGGGACCTGGGCTGTTTTCCAGTCTCTCACTATGCAAGCAAACGCTTAATGTATAAGACACTTCGTATTTTTGGCATTGTTCTCTTGAACTCGGTGCTTCCAATGGTGGCCTCCTGGGGGCCAGCCTAGAACCCACTTCTCTAGCCCCTTCTCATTTGGAAAATAGCAGACAGGGGATGGGGTGAGGGTCAAGGATGCCCTGTGTTCAAATCGCCACCTTGTGGGGGTTTCAGATTCCTTCTGAAGGTTTTGTTTTTTGTTTTTAAGATTTTATTTATTTGAGAGAGAGCACGTGAGCATGCATGGGGTGGGGGATGGAGAGCGAGCACATGCTCATGCATGAGCACAAGCAGGAGGAGGGGCAAAGAGAGAGGGAGAAGCAGACTCCTCACTGAGCAGGGAGCCCGAATTGGGGCTCAATCCCAGGACCCTAAGATCATGACCTGAGCCGAAGGCAGACGCTTAATGACTGAGTCCCCCAGGCGTCCCTCCTCCTGAAGGTTTTTAAACCTGCCGGGAGGTGGGCAGTGGCAGACAGCCGGGGCTGGAGGACCAGAGGCCAGTCCTGACCACTTCCCAGCAAAATTGCTTGGAATAAAAAAAAAAAAAAGCCCTGAGTGAATATAATGGAACTGTTGAATCACTATATTGTACACCTGAAACTAACATAACACTGTATGGTAACTACACTGGAATTAAAAAACCTTCACACATTTTACAAGGATTAACTCAAAGTGGATTATAGATTTAAATGTAAAAGATAAAACTAAAATTTTTAGAAGAAAACGAGAGAGTCTCTGGCACCTTGAGCGAGGAGAAGAGTTCTTAAACATGACCCCAGAGACCTGGCCCATGAAAGAAAAAGTCAATACATTGGACTGCAGCAAAATTTAAAACTCTGGCTCTGCAAAAGGCCCTGTTAAGAAAATGAAATGACCAGCTATAGACTGCGAAAAATTATTTGCAAACCACGTATCTGGCAAAGGATTTTTTTTCATGGAAAATAATGAAGGACTCTCAAAATCCAGTAGTCAGAACACACCACCCAACCACAAAATGAGCAAAACATCAACAGACATTTCACCAAAGATGATGTACAGATGGCAAATGACCACGAGAAAAGATGTTCAATATTATTAGCCATCAGGGAAATGCAAATTAAAACCATGATAAGGGGCGCCTGGGTGGCTCAGTTGGTTAAGCGACTGCCTTCGGCTCAGGTCATGATCCCAGGGTCCTGGGATCGAGTTCCGCATCGGGCTCCCTGCTCTGCGGGGAGCCTGCTTCTTCCTCTCCCACTCCCCCTGCTTGTGTTCCCTCTCTCGCTGTGTCTCTCTCTGTCAAATAAATAAATAAAATCTTCAAAAAAAAAAAAACCATGATAAGGTATTACTACACCCCTATTGCAACATGTACAAAAATGACACTATCAAATGGTGGTGCTGGGATGGCCTGGGTGGCTCAGTCAGGTAAGTGTCTGCCTTCGGCTCAGCTCAGGATCCCGGGGTCGTGGGATTGAGCCCCACTTCGGGCTCCTTGCTCAGCAGGGAGTCTGCTTCTCCCTCTGCCTGCCGCTCTCTCTGCTTGTGCTCTCTCTCTGAAAAATCAAATATTAAAAAAAAAAAAAAATGGTGCTGATGTGCAGGAACTGGATCTTTCGTAAATTACTGTGGGAATGTAAAATGGTAAGCCGCTCTGGAAAAGGATTTGGCAGTTTCTTATCAAACTAAACCTGGGCTTACTGTTGGCCCTCCTGGCCCTCCATGCTCCTCCGGTGCTAGCATTTATCCTCTTGTCCCCCGCCACCGGCTTGCTTGTCTGGCCTCTAGGCCGGTAAGGCGAGCGCTCCATCTGTCATGACGCCTTGGTGGCTGCCGAATCCCTGCCCCTAGCGCAGGCCCTTGAGCCGTGGAGATGCTTAGTGCTGTGGAAGGAGCGTGCAGCTTCTTGACTGTGGGCTTGGGAACGCCCGTGACGTGCGTCCACCCTGTGCGGTTCAGCCCGCCTTCTCTATAAATGGGCAGCACGTCTGACACGGATGCGTTTATTCAGGTGGTCCCTGAACAAACACTTCGTGGAGCAGCTAAGTCGGGCTTGTTGTAGTTCAAGGAGCCGAAGTGGGCTAACCAGACACGGCGTCTTACTCAGTACTGTGCTCAGAACAAGTTCCTACCAGCAGGTCTAAGCCCTGCTGGGCCCACCTTCCTTTCTCCTTCAGATGTGTTTAATGCTATGCTTTCGTTTGTTAGGTTATTTTCTGTCCTTTTTTAAAGACTTTAGTTTCCATTTGGTCTTGTATTTTTCTTGAAAAATTTAATATTAGATGCTTCTAGTTGTGATGTAATTGGATTTTTTTTTTTAAAGATTTTATTTATTTGAGAGAGAGAGAATGAGAGACAGAGAGCATGAGAGGGGGGAGGGTCAGAGGGAGAAGCAGACTCCCTGCTGAGCAGGGAGCCCGATGCGGGACTCGATCCCGGGACTCCAGGATCATGACCTGAGCCGAAGGCAGTCGCTTAACCAACTGAGCCACCCAGGCGCCCTATAATTGGATTTTTTTCCCATTTTCTTTTCTAGATGCTTATTCTAGTACAGAAAATACTATTGGTTTTTGTATTTCTGTCGCTTGAGTATATTCTTTTCCTAGTGGTCATAGCTTTTTATTAAAATCTCTTGAGCTTTGTCGGTGTACAATCAGAAAAAAATACTTTTTCTCTTCTGACGTTAGTTTTTAAAATTTTATTATCTGTTAATACCGCCCCAAGACAGTCTTGGCTAGTAGGTAACCCTGCTCTGTTCTGATTTCAATTGAGATGATTTTAGTATTTCCCTTAAGTTTTTGTTTTTGTGTTTTAAATCTAAATTGGGAACAGCTATTGGATTTTGTAAAATACTTCTTCAGCAGTGTCATGATCATAGGCCTTCTCTGCTTTAAGTTTGTGATGAAATGAAATGTGTTACTGGATTTCCTGATTATCAGCCCACACTTGCATCTTTCATGGTGTTTTACTCTGTTGATAAATTATTGGATTTTGTTTGCTAATAACAGGAATGTCCCCAGGCTTTTGGCATTTGGATGCCCCCTTTCCACTTCCAGTACTAAGGCGGGTTTTCTTCCATCTTGCATTATTGTGAACATTTCAATTTTGATGAGAAATGGGAATAGCTGCAATTTCCCCAGGTAATCCCGTATTTTAGTAAGTTGCTATACAGTTTCAAAGAGAAAGAAATCATCCATAATTACACTATCTTAAGTTACTCACAGCTCCTGCTGTTTTGCCATAAACCCCTTTGTGGTGTTTGTCAGAAAATCGGCAGGCCCTCAACAAACTTCACCAGGAATCCGCACCCTAAATGGGCCACGTGCTGCTCTTCTGACTCCGGGGGCACGCGGGGGTGGGGTGGGGGCACGTTCCTGATAGAGCCTCGCTAGCCTCCTTCCTCATGGAAAAGAGGTCGTGCAGAGTGCACTACAGGGCTCTGGGGGCACCATTCACATTGAGCCATGGTGCCTACGTGTACTTACTACGACTTCCCAGCAGATGGCAGTGAACTGAGGGGCGCCAGTGAGGCCGTGATTCCCTTCCGAGACTGGCTAGAGGTTACCTGGACCCACAGCTACTCTGGGCATGCAAAAGGACCCGTGCCAGCTTAGAGTACCCGAAAGCAGCTATCTTCATCCATGCCTTGCCCCCCCCCCCGACCCTGTTAGCGAACGACAGCAAAAGTCAGGCTCACCCCCGATATCCCCTCTGCTGGTAAGTTTCTAGTTCTTAAGCGGAATGGTGTTTTCAGAGGTGTTCATTTTATTATGCTTTATACTTTATGTACATGTTACATATATTCATTTTGAATGCTTTAATACAATAAATAAAAAAGGAAAGCACACATATACAAATAAGAATGCCAGTATCATGGGGAAGACCTTGTATCTGCTGAAATTTTTCTTCAATTAGCCTATTCATAAATCTCAGTACTGTAACTATTAATAGTTAGCAAACATGTCACAATGTACTTCCTGTCCTGATGCTAGAGTTAGAAATCCTTCTCCTGTGAAAGCATTTAGAAAGAATAGTAATGCTTTTTTATTTTTTAGAGATTACTTTATATAGCAGGGCAATTTTTCTGTTGGAACTTGTGATGATACTTACAGGATAGGCATGATAGCAGGCTACTGAGTTTCCTTCAGCCTGTCTCCACAATTTTTTTTTTTTAAAGATTTTATTTTTTGACAGAGAGAGAGACAGCGAGAGAGGGAACACAAGCAGGGGGGAATGGAAGAGGGAGAAGCAGGCTTCCCGCCGAGCGGAGAGCCCGATGCGGGGCTCAATCCCAGGACCCTGGGATCATGACCCGAGCCGAAGACAAATGCTTAACGACTGAGCCACCCAGGTGCCCCAGCCTGTCTCTAGAATTTAAAGCAGGAACTGAATGGCAGGAATTTCTTCCAGAAAGCTGTTACACATAAGTTTGAACATGACTAGCTGCTGCTCTTGAGCAGTATCTGAGAGATTTCAGAATTTCTGCTCCGTTGGAAACGGTAAAACCTGACCTTAGAAAGGATGCCTGGGTGCAGGAAAAACGCAGCATGTGTCCAACCCTGTGACAGGGACCGCTAGCTGGGCTCCCTGTCCACCTCCCCACCGCTTCCCCCGTAACGAATCCTGGAATATTCACTGGCCCACGACAGCCAGAATAAAGACTGTTATTTCCTGTTCTCTTTGTAGCTAGTAGGAACAAGTGATTGAGTTTGAGTTGATGAGCCTACGTGGTGGCATAACTCGAGAAGTGCTCTTAAAGGCAGGGGCGGTGTTACCCAGCTGTGTAGCTGTCGGCAGCCTTGACATGGAAGCCGCGCGCTGAGCGTGGGGGGACCGCAGTCGAGGGGACCGCCTTCCTGACTTTTACACGCACGCACAAGAAATAAACTTCTATCTAAGTCACTATTGTCTGGGAACATGGCCCAACTAATAGTACCAAATTTGAGTCTCATTTCCTTAACCTAAAACGCTGATGCAAGTTAGACACTGCACCTGGTGGGGTGTGTCTACTGCTAAGATGACCTCAGATGGAAGCGGGTTCCCACGGAGAACATCGTGCGTCACAAACGGCTATTTTACGAGGTGCTGAACTCCAAATATCTGACCTCCCACTGGCAAAGCCTGCAAATGCATCTATGGTTTGAAAGAAGCATCAAGAACATCAAAAACTAATTGCCTTTAGACTAGCTTAAGATGCAGAATGACTGAAGTCCCTTCCCATAAGAGAACTGTAACGAGCAATTTAAACAAAACAAAAATGGTTTGTTTTATTTACAACACTCAATGCATTTTACAAATAACATATTTGCATTCCCTAAGTCTTTTGGAAAGTAATTCCAGTTTGTGCAATGAGTTTACAGAAAAGTCTTAAGACATCTCTTAGACATCTTAAACCTAAATTCTCAATTTTGAAAGATATTTCACACTACGTTAATAGAGGACTGTTTTTAATTAAGAAAAACTAAACTCTGTAGTTAAATATTGCCTTTCAATGATCTTTAACCCAAATACAAACTGGATTCGCCTGTGAAATAATACCATTAGATTTGGATAAATTATCTCCACTGCTTCCCCCACCCCCAAAATGCATGCACAAAGTAAACATGGTAAATTACATTAACGACATTTTATTTCAACACCTTTTTTTTTTGGACTCTCTCAACTATTGTTTTGCTCAATCTGGGGTACAGATAGGTAGGATTCCAGTCTGGGGAAATCCTAAACCCCACTCCAGGTTAGCGAAAGATTTTCAGTAAGTACGAGGAGACAGGTCAGGATTAGGGAGATTTCTAAGCAGGTTCTCTGAGGACGCCTCATTTGCTAATTAGAACAAGGTTCCCCTTCAGGCTTGATGAAGCCTAAAGGGATCAGTTATCTTCCTACTGACAGTTTGGGTAGCATCTAATGCAAGTCTCCAAAGGACAATAGGTTCCTCTCTTTCCCCTCTTCCCTGAATCGCTACCTTCATTTTAGTGCCTTCTAAGGTTGATGATGGAGAAAAGTTCCTGTGTTCAGATTCCAGAAACTGATTTAATGCCATATAAAGATCTTCTGGAACAGGTAAAGAGCAATGAACAATGATACTTTAATTGTGCAAGAGTTTTCATCTCATGCATATGAAAAAAATTAATTTTATCACTCATAGCTGCCATCTCGTAAAACATAAAATCCACGTCCTCGCTCTTGAGCTGGAGAGACAGAGACATCTCCACACCGGATCCACCCATTTAGCAATGCACTTCTCCATCTCCACACTAGATCTCTCCTCAAAAGACAGTGTCCCTAACATCCGCTGTAGGTGGCTGTCTGGGAGATACTAAGCCAGAGAAATAAAGCCTAACATTTGACTCAGCCAACAAAATTCTAAGATAAAGAAATGGTGAGGTAGAGTTGAGAGAGTTCAATTGAATTTTCTGAGCTTAGATCTTTTGGCACATTCTAAAATTATACAGACTCCTTCTCAAACTCTCTGTGATATCTTCACAAAGTGCTGGCAACTTCAGGAATCCTTTATCTATTTAGGAAACATCTATGTAAAGCTCACAGAATAAAGTCATTTGAAGAAATGAATTCCTGGCAGTTGAGCTTATTTACCCCAATATTGAAGCAAATAAACACAATGCTGTCCATTTGCTGAATTTATTTAAACAAATCAATTTAGAAACCTCATAGAATGAAACAAGACTTCTGACATGTAAACATACTGCCGTGTTCCTGAAACAGATGGTAACACCTGATAGAAGTTAATAATTGCTTGTTAGGAAAGCTGTCCATTAATAAGGCCAGTCTTCAGCAGTTACTAAAACCATTGTGTTTCTTTAGCTTTCCTAGTGTCACAATGCAATACTATCAAACCACAATCAGATCTAATAAAGACAAGATTGGATGGACAGATCAGTACCATTGGTTACAGCTGTTAAACAGTTTCATTCTTGGCGCCACGTAAAAACAAGCCAATCACATCAAATAAATCATGGCTTTTTTTCTTTATCACAATTCACTAAGTGATGTTAATTATGGTCTTTGTCAAACACGTTTGGTAAAGGCTATTTACAGTGTACATGGCTGAGCATGCACTATTTATAGTTACAAAGATACCTGCCAGTTTATTACAAGAGAATTACACAGTGCCTGAAAATGGTGAAACATCTCACACGTCATTTAAATCAATAGTTTCAAGCAGAAAACGTTCCTTATTTGACCACGATCGCAATAATTACATGAAAATTCTTATAAAAACACGAATCCCCCTCAAGAAATTGATGCATATTCTACGCACTATAGGTTAAGGCAGTAAAAAAATGTATTCCTGATAACTGGAGGTCTTGACAATGTCAATTAAAGCTGACTCTAGTTTTTCATTCTCCATCCTTTACTCAAAGTTCTTTCTGTATAACTAATTTGTGAAAGATTTCATTTTTAAAGTCGAAGAAGTATTAGCAATGAAGAGAAGAGCTGATGTTGGAAAAAAGAAACTGCTAGGGAAAGGGAAAAATGTTAAGTTGCATTTTGCCTGAAAGTTTTCAAATTCTAAACAAGAGCATTATTTGTGAGTCTGAACCTTAAAAGTATAAAACAAATACATATAGTTTATCTTTCTTAATTTAAAATATACTGAACTTTGAACAATTCAAGTAATGTAAGACTATCAAAAATAACTTCATAAGCCATACAAGCATCAACTGCATGTTCAATGTTTTTAATTAAGAACTTTTTAAAAATTGTAAACTAAACCAGGAGTTTAGTTAACAAATGATAAATGACCTTTTATTTGCACTTGTGATTCCTTTAATACAAATTGCTACCAACATATATGTAAAGATATGGCAGATTATGCATTTGATCAAAGCACTTAGATTTAAGCATAAAACAGATTCAAATGGTTTAAGTTCCGTGCATAAGATCGCAGATGTTGCCTACGCATCCGCAGGCAGCTCTCTCTCTAATCAGAATCCTTTATTCCTCAGCTGCAGATGAGACAGGGCACAAGCTGTTGTAAACAGGGCACTGCTGTAAAACCAGGATAATATGCTTAAATTAAGACCGTTCTTGTTCAATTGAAAAGACTTTCCCCAAGTGTCTTCCAGCACTGGAGTATATTCTGCTGACCTCTGAATTTCATAAATTAACTTTCCTTTGATTCCATTTTTATGGTGGTTGTGTTCACAGTTTTGTTTTAAAAATTGGTTTAAATTTATATAAAACTCTGTACATGTTCACAAATTATTGCATAAACAGCATAATCTTCCAGACAGTGTTTGAAAACACATGTCCAAATCAGGAAAAATATATTCACGTTTCCCGTCTGGCTTTTTTCTTCTTTTTTATTTGTTTGGGAGATTCCCAGCTAGTTTCAGACTTGGCTAAAGGGAAAAAAAGAAAGAAAAAACAGGAGTAAATACTGTTATGTCTCAAAAATGTAAAAGTAGCATCAATGAAAACATGTGCTGAAATAAACATAAAGGTTGAAGCATTATCAGGGGAGTTAAGTGTTCACGTTCCAGTGACATGTTTTATAGGTTATTCTATGGCTGCCGTCCTCTTTTCCTTTGAATCCCAATGTATTCTGTTTTTTCATGACATGGAAGGTATTTCACTGGTTCTGATCTAGAAAAGCCATCATTTAATACGGCTCAATCTAAGTAATGAAAGTGAAAATGGGCAAAAATGGACACTGAAGGGAGCTGAAGGGAGCAACGGAGGGAAAAAAGGCACAGAACAATTCCCAGTCCCAAGAACACGTGCACAGAAAAAGGGAGGGACCAGATGGACAAGGGCATGTCTCTGCCATCTATGTTCCTGGCCACCCCCTCTTGCTTGGAGTGATCTCAGTCCCTTGGCCCTCACAGCTGAGGTCCACAAGGTTCCAAGGAATGTAGCCTTTGCCAAGGAAGGAAGGATTATCTATTAATCCATCGGCCTTCTGAGATATTAGCGCTTATCAACAGTACAAGAACACACAAAAGAACCAGAATGGAGGATTACTCACTCTGTGAAGGAGGCACACTGTTTTGCTTAGTATTTGACTTGGATTTATCTGTCTCTTGTAGCATCGGTGGCACTTGGGATGAACTCTTGTCAGAATCACTTTTTGATAAAAGAACAGATGGCTCGGTAGAAATAGCAGGTGGAAGAGTCTTGATAGGCTATTTTGGAATAAAATTATCTTAAGTTCTTTTGTAAAAAGTTTCAAATAAAATTAAATATAGTAATACCAAGAGGCTGTTTAGGACCAAGTAAGTACTAAGACCGTTTCCAAATAATTTACCAGCAGAAGCACTACAGCCCGTGCCTGCCCTCTAGCGGCGTAACCAAATAAATCCTTACCCACAGGAGCCATCAATTTAGGTTGAGATAAAAATGGATGAAAGTATAAAATTACAAGATGTTTACTGAATCTCATATAGGGGGGAATAATTCCATTTTCATGAACCTTTCCATTTTTCTTTTTCATTACAAATAGAATGATTTTATATGTTTTAGTAATTCAATGTCTGTCCACTTCTTACCAACTCTTTAATTCCTCAAAACTTTTTCATGTGAAAGACAAAAAGAAAAAAGCGAATTTCTGAAATACCAATAGGTGATGCTCCCTTCTCTGCTTCTCGAGAGGTAAGGCTAACTCAAACAGGGCAACAATCACTTCCGTTTCCTACCCACAGAAAATGGTGGCCTCAGACAAAAGCAAACTATGGCTACTAGTCCTATCCATTAAAGGAAGCAGTAAAACTCAGGTCCAAATTTTCAGAGTTCTATCCAGTCTGGTAGTGAAATCATAATGCTGAGGGCCTAGACTCTTACACCTTGCTTCTCCTCTCCAACCTGGAAGCAGAAAGGCCTCTGTGAGGCCTGTAAATGCATGGTCAGGAGAGGTAAGGATGGAAACCCCAGTATTTGGAGTGCCTTGAGGCTGTAACAGAGGAGATCAATTCATCCTTAGCCTTATCATCATGATTGAATACAGAAACAAGGCTAAGTGATGTTTCTCTTGCCCCTTGTTCCTCTAGGCTCTGTAGGTGTAAGAAAGCTCAGCAGAAAAGGAAACAAGAAGAGGAAGCTGTGTGCATGCAAGTAATTACTAGGATTCCTTCCTTCTGTTTCAGGTATCCAAAGCTGCATTTGTCTTGCTTGGCTCAGCTTTCCTATTAGTGTTCTCCATATTTATTTCTTACCCAAAAGTTTTAGTATTTATTTCCAGTATTCTCCCCTCTATTCTCTCCACTTAATCTATGATAAATCACAGAAGGACTCAAAATAGTCTTTACAAAATGGCTTCCGAAAATGACTTGCTAGTAAGTAAAACATCAAAATGTCAAATGACCCTTTGTCTCCCTACTATTAAACCTATGCATGTACTGAGATCACATCCTTACATCTCAAAAGGGAATTCTTCTCTTAGGGAATTAAAAGCATCAAATCCAAATAGGAACTATGGTTAAGATTTTATTTTGGCACAAGACTGTTACCAATTACTTCTTTTAGCGGTAACTCAGGTTCTTTTTTTTTAAAGATTTTATTTTTTTAAAGATTTTATTTGACAGAGAGAGAGACAGTGAGAGAGGGAACACAGGCAGGGGGAGTGGGAGAGGGAGAAGCAGGCTTCCCGCGGAGCAGGGAGCCCGATGCGGGACTCGATCCCAGGACCCTGGGATCATGACCTGAGCGGACGGCAGACATGTAACGACTGAGCCACCCAGGCGCCCCTAAAGATTTTATTTTTAAGTAATCTCTACACCCACTGTGGGGCTGGAACTCACAATCCCAAGATCAAGAATCATATGCTTTACCAACTGAGCCAGCCAGGCGCCCCTGTAACTCAGGTTTGTGTCTGAAGCTGTTTCATTAAAAATATGTACGCTCCAAAAAGGCAGAGATGTTTTTGATCTGCTTTGTTCTCTGATATATCCTCAAATAGTGTGTGGCATTGTAATGGGTTCTCAGTAAATTTTTTTGAATGAGCATATATAAATGAACCATGCAACTCTAGTAAGATTTCATAGATTTCTATACAATTTACCTTTCTAGAAATTAGATTTTAAAAAACTATGCGTCACTGGCCTAGACCTTTTGTAAAATGATCCTTTCTGACACATCAAAATTTTCTACCAATGGCACAGATTTCAAGAACCTGTCACCGATTTTAAACAAATGTTAAATTTTGAGAGGTTGGACCACAGCCATATTATATATTATGGCATGCTTTTAGGAAAATGCAACCAGTTACATTTTCTCTAAGCCACTATCCCCTGTATGTTTTGCTATTTAATAGGAGAAAGCACAGTCTATTGGTTCTGGTTTCACCACTGACAGGCAGCTTGGGACTAGTTATTTAAGTTCTCCAACCTCATTTATATAATAGATCTTGACCTTTCTCATGGGGTTGTTATGAGGGTTAAATTAGTGTATTTAAAATACTCAGCACTTTAAATTAGTGATTAGCAATGCTTAGCACTTAGTACTTCAATAAAATATGAGTTATGACACAACTCTCAAGTCATCAAAATTTTATTCCTTAAATATCAAAAAATTACCTGGCTATTTTTGATGAGTGCTTCAGCTGGATCACTAGTGCTTATGGTCTTCAAAGAAAAAGCTTTCTCCTGTTTTGGACGGACTTTAGAGGTATTCACTGGAAGCTCTTCCCTAATTTCTTTTTCTAATTCTTCTGTGTCCTACAGAGGAAAGTAGTCTATTAGATGATATAAATCACTCTTTTTTACTAATTAAAAATCTATTTGTAGTGTTAATGTCCAAAAGATATTCCAAGAAAATAATTTCACTTCAGTAACTGTCCAAACAACTTAACAGAGCATATAAAAACAATCATTCAAAGATTTAAAATATACAGGTACATCTGGAACAACAGTGATCATCCCTGCTCTCCCCAGGGACTTAAATCAATTGGGAATTAAAAACCAATACACTCCCATCCCCAAATGCAAACCATTCTAATTTACTAAACCAACTCAAACGAAATAAACTAGAATTTTGTCTTTTAAACAAAATACACAGTGAATTAGGTGATACTCAAACTAAGACTTTAGAAATAACATTTTAGTTAATGACATCTTCAAGGAATATCTGTACATGAGTACATTCTGTAGATAAACGAAGCTGACATAGTACAAAGTACATTTCAGTTCCGGTCTGCTGCAGCCTAGCTGTGTAGTGTCAAAGACAAATCATTTCATTTCCCTGAACCTTAGTTTCCTCTCTCAACTATAAAATAAAATGTGCCTAGATAATTTCTAAGGTCCTATCCAAGCTTTAACATTTCCATTCTTAGGCCATCAGACTTTATTTTATTTTTTAAAAAAGATTTTATTTATTTATTTAACAGAGAAAGAGAGAGAGAGAGAGAAAGAGCACACACACAAGCAGGGGGAGCAGTAGGGGGAGAGGGAGAAGCAGGCTCCCCGCTGAACAGGGAGCCCGATGAGGGGCTCGATCCCAGGACCCTGGGATCATGACCTGAGCCAAAGGCAGATGCTTAACCGACTGAGCCACCCAGGTGTCCAAAGGCCTTCAGACTTAAAAAAAAAAAAAGTTTCAACAAAGCAATTCTAAAGCACATTACATGCGTAGGTATGTGAAATAAATATGAACTAGAATACATTAAACAGGACCATCATTGCTAACTGTATGATTCCTTAGCCAACACATACATAGAAACAACTGGCTAGGGTGATCTTGGAAGTCTTCTGCCAATACTGATACTTTATAAAACTTGTTCAGGATGGTAGTGGGTTTAGACAGTAATATAAATTTTGTTGTGAATTTAAGTTGAAGAGTAGCTTTGGAAGTATATATGTAAGATTTGCCATCTGTACAAAATTAACGTGAAGACATCAGTTAGTTTTATCCTAAGCTGTACTCTAACAGTAAAGACGCCCACCAACCACGTACCCACAACTAAAAAGAACAAATTCCCAAATGTACTACGGATAGGATACTATGTTCTATGACCCTGACAAAGAATTTCATGGCTGTCTCATTTAATTCTCAAAGCAACCTATGCAGTCAAGTCATCTGTGCAAAGAAAAACAAAAACAACCAGTAAATGGCCAAACTGAAATTTGAATACAGATCTGACTCCAAAGCCTGTATACTTACTCAGTTATTTATTTAAAAGATTTATTGATCTGAGAGAGAGAGAGGGAGAGAGGGAGGGAGGGAGGGAGGGAGGGAGGGAGGGAGGGGCAGAGGGTGAGAGAGTCCCAAGACGACTTGGCGGTGAGCGCAGAGCCCGATGTGGAGCTCAAGCTCACGACCTGAGATCTCAACAGGAGCCAAAACCGAGTCAGATGCTTAACCAACTGCGCCACCCAGCTGCCCCATACTCACTGTTATTTTTAAAAACATTTCAAACATTTTTAAAAGAAGTATAACAATACCAAAAGAACTTTCACAAGTTAATGACCTTTGCCAGTAAGTTGAAATTTACAGATTATATCTGTCCCACAAAATTTCTTTTAAAAGGAACTCATCTAATCCACAAACCAGAAAAGTAGTCTTTAGTAAAGGCTATAACGTAAGTCACAGAAGTCCAGGAAAAGTTTGGCTAAACAGAGTTCAGACAGTATTACTAACAAAAGATAGCTGTCCATAACGGTTATCATCAGCTAGCTCAGCTAAGGAGAGAAGCACCCTTATTACACAGTATATCCATTGATCTCAGTTACGTATATTACTGTGAGAAAAAACAAGCATTGAAAATGGATCAGTGTCATTTATGATGGGCTGTGCTTCCCTCAACAAAAAATGAACGCAACACGTATTTCCTTATGCACCAACTTTTCCCAAAGAGAATAAACAGGAAAATTACTATGGAGGCTATCCTCTAGAAACTCTGGCTCTCTCCTACATTTAAAGGAATAAAAACAAGTAGCCACATGGTTGTAGGTAAGGAATAAGATTTTTGTAATTTGTAATATAATGGTGATAGTGCTTTCAAAGAGAAACCCATACATACTTCTAGTAATCTAGTATGTTTGCAATTAAAGTACCTTTGTTTTCATTTATACTGTCATTTAAAATTAGTTTTCCCAATAGGAGAGACCAATGAAAAAAGAAGGAAAATGGAGTGACAGAAGTAGAAAGTTTCTGTCAGAAGCCAAACAAGCAGATGAAGATACTAAGTGAAGGTATTAAGAGGATACTAAGTGAAACAGAGAGCAAACTCTGGAGTGACACTCCACTTGTGACTCACATGTTCTAAGCTAAAATTCTAACTTGCTAAATTCAAGTTATTCAAAAAGCATTTTTGTATGTGAGAAATACTGTACCTCTTTTTCCATTTCACCTTAATATAAATCAAAATGCATCTAATTTATTACTTTTGGGTTTACACCTTTGGTACGATTTTTTTTACAGCAATAGTTATTATTACAGTAGGATACAGAAGATCTTTAAAACATTCTGTGACTTTTCAAATGCTTTGCAAGTAAACCTATCTCCTATAGTGTCTTTTATCTCTACATATTCTTAGTATCTGCATATTATCTTTTCACATTTGAGCAGTAGGTGCTTAACGAATGACATCTATCTGTTTTGATACTCTACCTGTGCGGGAGAGTTATCTTCACCTTGCTTCTTCTTTTTCTTTTTTTTCTTTTTAGATTTCCCAGTTGGAAGAGCTCCCTCTCCCTTTTCTTTATCATCATCTGAAACCTGATGTTAAAAGCAAAAGTATTAAGTAAAACAATTGGTTAAGTTTTCATTATTCAGAAATTATGGAATAATTTCATTCATTAGGCTCAGTCTTTATCTCCTAAATGCTAAGTAAAGAATTAGTAATGAGTAATAAAATGGATCTAAAATTACATATTTAAAAAGAACAAAGTACGTGGAACTTCATTCTCCTATTGTCTATGATAGACCACTTTTTTTTTTTTTTACATCTTTCTGATTGTTTTTATATGCTCTGTTAAGAGAATGACAAGCTACCGAGTGGGAGAAAATATTTGCAAACCATATATCCAACAAAGGACTCATGTCTCAGACTATAGAAAGAACACTCAAAATTCAACAGTAAACAATCCAATTAGAAAATGTGTAAAAGATATGAACAGACATCTCACGACAGAGGACAGATGGCAAAGCAGCACATGGGAAGATGTTCCACATCATCAGGTATTAGGAAAATGCAAATTAAAATCACAGTGAGTTCACTACACACCTATCAATAACGGCTAAAATAATAAACAGTGACAAACAAGTGTTGGCAAGGATTCAGAGAAATACGATCACTCATTCACTGTAAGCAGGAATGTGAAGTGATACAAGCACTCTGGAAAACAGTTTGGCAGGTTCTTAATATATTAAATATGCATCTATTATACAACCCAGGCACTGTCCTCCTAGGCACTTATCCCAGAAAAATGAACACTTACGTTCACACAAAAACCTGTACATAAATGTAGATAGCAGCTTTATTCACAATAGCCCCAAGCCAAAAACAATCCTGATGTCCTTCAACAGAATGATTAAACAATCTGAGGCATATCCACACCATGACTGCTCAGAAGTAAAAAAGAACCAGCTAATGATGCACACAACAATCTAGATGAGTGTCTAGAGAATTATGCTGAGTGAAAAAAATAACAGTATGAAAAGGTTACATGCTATTATTATTCTATTCATAGAACATTCTTGAAATGATAAAATTATAGAAATGGAAACAGATCACTGGTTGCCAGGGGTTACCAGGGGGGTGGTGACAAGAGGAGAGAAAGGGTGGCTATAAAAAAAAAAGGGCAACATGAGGGGTCCTTGCAGGATGGGAATGTTTTCTGTATCTGCATTAATGTCAGTATCCTAGTTGTGATAACTGTTCTCAAGTTTTTCAAGATGTTACCACTGGGGGACACTGGGTAAAGAGTACAGGGAATCTCTCTGTATCATTTCTCACAAGGGCCTGTCACTCTACAGAAGGCTTAATTTAAAAAAATTGAATTTGAGACGGAATGTCATTGAAAATAACATTCCGCAGGACAAAAATAGTGAATCAGAACTGTTAAACTAGTATTCAGACTATCCCTTCACACATACCATATAGTTGACTTTTCTATGAAAAAGTGCTTTTTGTTTCTTCTGAACAGATGACAGCCAAGATTCCTAGCCTATCCTTATAGGATGAGATGATGGGGTAACTACTATTTCTCTGCTCAGGAGCACAGTCATTAGGATGAACCACCAAACAGTTCACAGAAACTACTAACAGATGGAAAAACAAAATCCTACACAAACTTAGCTAAGAGATGTTCAGTACAAGTTGGTTGTCAGTTGTGGAGAAACTTCCACAGAAGTTTTCACCATAAGCTCACAGTGATTAAAATACCACGTGAAAAAATGTATCCTATAAGGAATATTCAGGTCACAAGGACTCTGAGCACTCTGCTTCTCAGCCAATTATCATCCAACCATGAGAGAACTGTAGTTCCTGATGGCAAAACACTAGTTTTGTTCATGGGGAAAAAGGCTGAAATCAACTCCATACCATCTTTTAACTCACACAAAAGAACTGACATTTTGACACATTTATTTTAGATTATTAAAAGACATTACTGATAAACTTAAAATTCCTTAAACCCTTCCCAATCCCATTTCCATACCACCTCCCCTAGGGGTTTACCCTAGGGTTAATCATTACCATTACCACTACCATGAACTTCTTTTGTGTCCATCCAATCAAGTTTCTTTTTATAAATTCTGGTGTGTTCACACATACAAAATTTATATAAATGGTATCATACTGTATCTTTCTGTAAACCTGTCCTTCATCATTCAACATGTTTTTGAGATTCTATTCATGTTGATATTAATGTAACTTATTTCATTGATATTTAACATCTAATATGTGATTGTACAAACCTGTCACATTTTATTTCTCCATTCCTCAACTGATGGGCCTTTGGATATTGCCCCATTTTTGCTAAGAGAAATGAAAGACGATCTCCGAATATACTCAGAAAAAGAAGTGCTATGATATGTAACCGTCTTTACTCCATTCAGTGATTCTACTCTGTAATTCTGATGATCGGGCACAAGGAAGTTTCAGTTAAAGAAACAGATTTTTGGTTGCACATTCACTAAACATTCAACAAATATCAGAATGATTACTGTGTGTTAAGGTACCGTACCAGGAAGCTTTTCTTTCCTAACAGACTTTATTTTTTAGAGCAATTTTAGGTTCACAGCAAAACTGAGCAGAAGGCAGAGATTTCCATATACTCCCCAGCCCCACACATGCACAGCCTCTCCCACGATCACTATCCCTCCCCAGAGTGGGACATTTGTTACAACTGATGAGCCTATACTGACACATGATTACCACTCAAAGCCCCTAGAATTTACCTTAGGGTTCACTCTTGGTGTTGTACATTCTACAGCTTTGGGAAAAATGTATAATGATATGCATCCACCATTACAGTGTCTCTACAGAGTAGCTTTACTGCTCTAAAACCCCTCCATGCTCTGCCCATTCATCTCTCTCTCCCCCTAACCCCCTCGACCTTCATATTACCTATCAACTGCACCCCGCCCCGTACATTTCTTTACACCCTTAATAATAAATCCCATTACTACCTCTTCCTTCCTGTGGTCTCTAAAGATCAGAGGTACTACCATCCTATTATATTAAAGGCCAACCCACAATCCACTCATGCCTAAGATTCCTCTACATCTACTGCCAGGAACTTACCCTATTAGCCACATCTCTCAGTTATGTTTAGCTTTTACTTTACTCTAGATCCTTTCCCTTTGTGTCCACAGATATGTTAAAGCAGGGGTTGACAAACTACAAGTCTGGTCCGATGCCAGATTTTGTAAATAAAGTTCATTTCCCTACAGTCTACGGTTGCTTTTGCACTGCTGTATGGAACTTTAATAAAAAGTTTACCGACGCTGTACTAAAATCTCTCCTATCATTAAAACACAAACAACCCCCAACAAAACCCTTCCCGATGCTACAGTGTGCTGTCATCCACTACCTCTCCTCCATTTCTATCCAAACTTACTTTAGAAAAACCTTGTAATTGTTACTACTCTTTCCTAACCATTTACTCAACTTACTGCAATATGGTTATTAGTCCAAGATTTCTTTCTTTTTTTAAGATTTTATTTTTTGACAGACAGAGAAAGTGAGAGAGGGAACACAAGCAGGGGGAATGGGAGAGGGAGAAGCAGGCTTCCCGCTGGGCAGGGAGCCCGATGAGGGACTCGATCCCAGGACCCTGGGACCATGACCTGAGCCGAAGGCAGACGCTTAACAACTGAGCCACCCAGGCGCCCCTAGTCCAAGATTTCTAACGAAACTGCTCTTAATTACCAGAGAGCAGATGTCTCAGCCTCTGTGACCCAGAGCTCTCTTCCCCCAGTCTCTTTCATGGGCTTTTTTCTCCTTAAAACTTGGGAGTTTCCCAGATTCCTATGTTCATTCCATTGCTCTTTTCAAGTCTACAGATTTTTCCTAGATATTTCACCAACTCTCAAAGTGTTTAACAACCATATACTAATAACGTCCAAACAGATCTTTTCCCTAAGCTTTAACCTGGCACAAAACCAACTTCTCTTAGGCATTTCAACAAAACGCTCTGCATTTAACATATCCCAAATGGAACCAACCACCCTTCCCCCAATTAACTAGTCTTTGCTCCTATATTTTCTCTGTTGGGAGGACTACACTCACCTTCCCAGTTACCCAAGCTAAAATCCTGGAAGTCATTTTGATGACTCTTCCTCCATTCAATTCTTTTTCTTTTTTTAAAATTGTATTTTATTATGTTATGTTAATCACCATACATTACATCATTAGTTTTTGATGTAGTGTTCCATGATTCATTGTTTGCGTATAACACCATTCAATTCTAATCATGTTCTGTGGATTTTATTTCAATGTATTTTTCAAGTCCATTCTGTATTCCGTGTACCATTCTTACCACTACTGTCCTAGACTACTAAGCAACCTCTGAACTGGTCTTCCTGCCTTTTCTCACATATGCCTCCACCTTTTCCTACATGGGCTACCAGTGTAACCCACGGAGAAAAAAACACTTTAGCTTAAAATCCTTCCATTACTTACAGGATAAAATCTATGGTTTTAAATATGACATTCAAGAACTTCTAGCATCTGGTCCCTGCCTCCCTCTCTAGTTTAATTTCTGACCACTCTTTGTTTCGCATTCTGCTTTTCCCTTCAGGATGCTTTTGCTAAAACTCCCAAGTGCTTCCCTAATACCCAACACATACCGTAACACGACTTTTACCTGCCGATGTGCCGGTCTCCTTCCTCTCCTCCCTAACCAGACTGTAGGCTCCTGGAAGGCAGTAACCGTGTCTTATTACCGCTTCTCTACTAACCAATACCTGACTTATGGCAGATGTTCAATGAATATTTGTTGAATACTAACGGCCCTATTATCTTCAGAGCCTCTTTGATTTTTCCCAGTTGCAGTTTGATCAGTCGCTTTATATCTCTGGTAAACACCACTTCCATTTATTTTTCAAAGCTATCAATTTAGTTCATTATCTCCTACCTGATTCATGTAACTGCCTCTTTAACACTTACCCCAAAATAGTACAAAATAGCTTCCCAAGCTTCTTGTCTTTCCGTTGTATCCAGCCTAATTTTCCTAACCCCAGTGATGATTAGGTTATCCCTAGTTTAAAAGCCGCCAACAGGTTATCATCTACAGAATTTCACAAAAATGTGGCAAGGTTATCGATCATTCCTTTCATTTATTTACTGAATGCCAAGCATGTTGCTAGAGCTACAAAAAACAAAACAAAACAAAACAAAACTTCACGGTCCCTTTCTTTAAGGAACGTAGCCTAGAAGGAACGTACTTTTCATCAACTGATTCCACACATGTGTACTATTTATCTCTCCACTAAATTATTACCTGTTTTCTTGCCTTGATGGCTTTTTCATGGTGTTCTCAGTCTTATCTGCTGCTATGAAGCCTTCCTAAATCTTTCACTGGCAACTGATCTAGTCTTCTCTAAACACACTAAGAGTTGATATAATACCAACTATTATTAATTCTGATAAGAGGAAAGTAACTGTGTTTTCTTATCAGTGCCTAATAGTGCTTTCCACATATCACAATTCTCAATAATATGTGGAAAGAAAAAACAGTGATACAGAGAAGGCATGCAGGCATAAGGATTGAAGCAAATATAATCAGAATGGCTCAGAAGCAATTCTATCACTGGATGTATTTATAATACCTAATAATTATAATATAGTTGGGTGCACAGAGAAATAGACATACCCGCCAATGCCTTTACTCACTTTTTGATCATCAGGAATTGGTTCCTGGGACTTTAGAAGTGAAGCTCTTTCTTCATCTACCCAATTTCCCCACTCTTCTGCTGGTGCATTCCAATCAGAGCTGGGATCAGCAGAAGACAGACCATCTAAAATTTAACAGTGTGAATTAGGTATCTATCATTTCTGCCAAAAACTAAAATGCAAAAACTAAAATTCCTTATGTTGAACTAGGCTGTATTTTTAAACTGTTGTTCTTCCTTCTTTCTCCCATGCACATTTTAAGAGCTAGAAGAAAACCTAATCATGATGGTAAAAACCTCTGTCCCACCTGTGCTAGGCCCATCATATGGCTAATTAAATGGAATTTCTAAGAAACTCTAGGCAACTTAAGAATTACCTATTTAATTCCACTCTCCCAAATTCCTTTGTGATCAACCACCTGACTTTGCTCTGTTTGTACTTTTTATGTCTAATTTGGTCTGGGTCCTGGTCATTTTTTTTCCCTTGGTCATTCCATTTTTGTACTTGATTTATTTTCTAGGGTCCAGAATTAGTGAATCTTGAACAGCAGTGCCAAAATTATGGTCCCCACCCGTCCTTTTACACTACACCTCCTCCCCTCCTTAGGAGCTTTTCAAGATTAGGTTCTTCTTCAAATTCACCAAGTCACGACAGAATATTTAATGTCTTCTTTCTTCTTTTTGGGGGAACAATTACTTTGTCACTTTTAATGGTTAATACTTAATCTGTATCTTCTTACATTTTCCAAATTATTCAATGCTACTTTTATCATTCCAAAATATTCAGGTCACTTTCAGGGTTTCTATCATCTATTCTCAAGAATAAATTTTTATTTTAGACCTCTAGATCCCTTTCTTTCACTCTAAAAGGCACTGAATTTTACCTCCTTTTGGAAGCTATCACTTGCTTATTCTAAAAAGGGAAAAACAATCTTTGGCTTTATCCTGGTTAAGTAGCTCTCAAAGTCAATTCTTCTCTCCTCTCCCTGGATTTCTGAAATGCTTCCACATCACCTCTGCAAGGACTACTTACAGCCAGGTTTCATTTCCAGTGGTTTAAGATGATAGGGGTTAAGCTCTATTTCTAAATGGTGAACAAGTCATTCTAGCACTGCTTTATTGAAAAATCCAATCTTTTCCCATTTATGTCAAATGTTACTTTTACTAACTACTGAGGTCTTTCACATACACTTCAGTCTGTTTCTGGAATTTCTATCCTATTTCACAGATATATTCCTGGGATGGTGCCATATATGACTCTGTAATACTTTTTAGTAACTCGAATGACAAATCTGCCTGATTCTTATTTTCTTTGCTGTTCTTATTTTTTCATGTGAACTCTATTATTTTTGTTTAAAGGGGAGGTATTATGATACCTCACGAAGGCTTTAAAACCTATGTTTCGGAAGAATATAATCTGGGAAAGTGCTCACAGAAAAAACAATAGACAAAATTGTCTTTAAAACATGATCCCAAATTTATATGAGGAAGAGATTGAAGAAAATAATATAGTAACAACAGATATATCTTAATAGTAGAATTACAGGAATTTCACCTTATTAAGCACTTACTATATATTAGAACTTGAGCTGGGTAGGTACTAGACATACAAAAATGAGTACAATATACCCCCACCCCCAACATGGAGCTCCTGGTCTTATCTATTCAGAGATGAAGATAGGTAAGTACAAGAGACATTTAAGTACAGAATGAGACTTTCTGTCACAGGGGTATGGAAAGGGAGAAGAGGGGCTAAAACGGTAGAGGATGGAAAGAGACTGAAAATAAGAACTGATAGTCTAAACATGTAACAAGTGATGACAACTGTGAAGTATGTTACAATAAAGGAAGTCCCTCCCTAAATTTACTACTACGAGCAGGAATCCAGAGGCAGTATTGCACGGTATACCCACATCGGGGTTAAAGGCATGGACCTGGAGTCAAACAGATCTACATGTGAATGCTGATCTACCACTTAATAACTATGTGATATGGGTGAAATTTCATAATCTTAGTGGGTTATACACTAACTCTCCAGGATGACTGAGATTATATTAGATACATCTAAAGCAGTGCACAGCAATGCAGTACGTGCTCAATGAATGGTAGGTGTTCTGTTTAGGTAGCACTGATGACATTAACAATAGAAAGCCAGTTTCTAAGCTATCAGGCACACACAACTAAGAATTTATTTCTTACAACCCCGGTAAATCTCTCAGTAAGATACATCTGGTGTGTCGTAATGTAGAAATCATATTTATAAGTATAAAGGCATCTAGTAGACATCTGGAACCAACTGCTCATCTTACATTAAGCATTCATTAAGAACACTGTAAGGAGATCTGAATGTCACAGGTTTTGCTTAAACCTCACAAAGAAGAAATGCAGATTTGGCATATTGCTCTCCATAAGCCAGGTCTCTAAGGCCTCTGGCCAGAAAAGATACTTTCTTTTATAGGAGAAAAAAAAAGTTTAGACAAGTGGGTGGGCAATATACTAACATATAAACTATTTTCTTTCCTTTTTTTTAAGATTTTATTTATTTATTTGACAGAGAGAGATAGCGAGAGCAGGAACACAAGCAGGGGAGTGGGAGAGAGAGAAGCAGGTTTCCCACTGAGCAGTGAGCCCAATGCATGGCTGGATCCCAGGATCAGGACCTGAGCGGAAGGCAAATGCTTAACGACTGAGTCATCCAGGCGCCCCATAAACTATTTTCTTAATAAATACGGTGATGTGGGGGGATAACAGGTAAAAATCTAGTAAAGTATTTAGTAACATTACTTTTTTAAAGGCTTAGATAACCAGAAAGGTTGGGGAATGACTGCAGCCTATGGTTTAACCTATGTAAGAACATTAACAGAGGCACAAATCTCTATTGGCTTTATAAAGGTTTATGGTGATTTTTTCCAGGTTTATTGATTTCAGGTTTGTTTGTTTTCTTACTAACTGGGATCAAATAAAACTACTTTATAAAACAAAAGATTACCTAAACATAAAAGTTGTCACCAGGAGACTTTTCAACACATAATTCTTAAGATTCATGGGCCTAATATGCTAAAAACTTCTTTCCTTTAAGGAAACTATGCAGTATAGTTTCATTCACTGGATAGTTTTCTCCATTTATAAACAGGGTAACTTCTCATTTCTCAAAATTCTCCCATCGGTTTGCCAATATCTTTTCAAAGAGCTGTATTAGTGTCTTTTCAAAATGGTAAGGAATTTATCTATTTAATTTGCTTGAATAATGCTTTAGGTTTAAGCATCTCATAGCTAATCTCTTATGAGTAAAAAAATGGCTGTCAGCTGCTTCTGGTCAGAACTTACTTTAGTATTAACTTTAATACAACAAAACAATTATGTTAGAAAGACTCTCCAGTGTTCAAACAAACAATACTAATTGACTCCACCGAGTAGACAACTGTTGCCCCTAGAAGAATATCAACAGCACCACAGCACTTACTGAATATTCAGGCAGTGTTCTAAGTGCTATATTTATATACTTTATTATTTAATTCTCTCAACAACTGTGGGAGAAGAACTATTCTTTTTGCAGATGATGAAACTGAAGCATACAATGACCATGTACCCACCTAAGTTTATGTCAAGGCTAAGATTCAAACCCAAGTAGTCTGTCCTCAAAGCTCATGCTCTCAACCCCTAACTATGCTGCAGCAAATTCACTCACTCTGGTGTGCCAACAAAAACAGAGTTCTGCTCAAAATCTGACTTTTTACAGGGGTTATGATGATGTTGTTCCTTTATGATCCAGACAACGGATAAGAGTAACACCTGCCTTTAAAAAATGTATCTTCTGTACTTTAGCATCTTAACTTAATATTCAAGTGTTCGGGTAAATCCAATGCCTTTCTGTCAGATAATGATGTCTATGCCTCACACCAGAGGGTCACTATATTAATCATATCACACTACGAAATGTAAAGCCAGCGTATGTGTATACATACATACATACACATATACATACTCTGTGGATTAGTAATCTCAAATACTAAATCACGCATTTTGTAAATTTAGAAGGAATAATTAAGTGCACGGAGTACCAAAATTAGCCACATTATAGATGATAAAACAAAAAATAAAATTCACAGAGAAAAACGAGGTTAAAGAGAAACTTTGGACTTAAAAGACTGCTAAGAGCCTAACCAATGAAAGATGGTGTCAAAGATGGTGTTTCTGATACTTTTAACTTTCAACAGAGTCCTGTGGATACATCTTTTGCTTCAGTCTTTTATTTCGGCAGCCAATCATGTTTTTCATGTTATAAGAATTCTAAAATGGATAAAAGTGGAGTAATCCTGTGCAGGCAGGGAAGCCTAGAGCCCTGATGCTCAGCTGTCCTCCGCCTCAGCCCATAGCTGCCTCACCGCTATTCTCTGGCATTCCTACAACCCACTCTTCAATTCTATCCTGCACAGAGCTAATCTTTCTTCAAAAGTACAGAGACTTCATTTTCCAAAATCGTTACCTTCACATCCTGTAATATACCCCTGGATTTATATGGTACTTTGTAATTACAAAAAGCTTTTATGTTCGTTCACTACCACATTAAAACCTCACAACAATCTACAGAAGTAGATGGGACAGATTATTTGCTCCATCTTACAGCTCAATTAATCTAGATTCCGGAGATAAGTGCTGAAGTCAAGCCGTATGAGGTACAACGTTTTAAAGTGAGGACTAAAGTAGGAAATACCTTCTTCTCAAGTAGCACGCCAACCCCACCTCCCTAATCTTTAGCCAGCAATTCAAGGCTTTTTATGGCCTAATCTACCTTTCCACCTCACTTCCTTTAATCTATAGGAATTGTGCTTTGGTGAATCTATGGAGACTTATTAATCTACAGACTAATTTTTGTACTGCATTGCAAGTTTACCTTCGCAATTACCATCATCATTAAGGCTGGACCCTGTGGTGGTTAAGAGCATGAACTCTGGAGCCAGACTACCCAAGTTTGATACCACTTCCTCCACTTAACTAGCTGTGTGACCTGGGTCAGATAACATTTCTTTGCCTCAGTTTCTTCATCTGGAAAGTGTGGGGGAAAAAACACGTACCTTGTAGAATTATTGTAAGCATTAAAATAAGCTAATAAAACCCACAAGACTTAAGACGAGTGCCTGGCACAGTCAGCTGTTTGCTTTTCTTATCATTATTACTACTGAACACCTCTGTATAAAGCACTGCGCTAGGTACCGAGGATCCAAGAGTAACTGAGAGTTCCTATTTTTAGAGGGTTTCATTTCAACTCTACTTGAAGAAACACAAGATATTCTTCAAGACTTTTTTTTTTTTTTTTGCACTAGCCAAATGGTGGAGAAGTCCACAAGGTAACGTATAAATGCTAAATAAAAAGAAAAGGATGGCTGTAAAAATTCTAAGGAGTACATTCTGAGGTTTGAGGTTGTGCGGGGAAAAAAAATCTCAGATTTTTTTTTAAGTGAAGATGGCATAAGTTCTCTGAACGTAAAAACCATATTCTTTTTCCCTCCTCTTTTTTTTTTTTTTTTAAATAACTCTGGTCATTAACCTTCCTAAGTTTCTACTGGGAATCAGGCTAAGAAAATTATTTTAAAATACAAAACTTGCATACCTCACAAACTGAAAGCCATTCCTATATATTCACTCTATTATACTAAAAGTAAGAAGAGAAACAGAATGTTCATATAAAACAAAAAATTTTTAAAATAAAAAACTATAGAGCAACTATAAGAAAACATCATGTTTAAATATTGCCTCAATCACAAAAGTATAAATTTAAATTCTACAGTTATTCAAAAACATCAGTTTATAAGTAGTACACATTTGGTATTAAATTATATTACTATGGCCTAAGAGGTGAAAATTAGGATTAAAATTAAAACATAAAGCATGAATTTAGGGTGCTAGAAAGAAAATTCTGAAAAAACAAAAACAAAAACATAATTTTTAAAAGGACATACTTAACCCAGACCATTCATCATCGATATAGGGTTGATTACGGCTAACATCCCACTGATAATCAGAAGTGGTAGAATGAGAAACTGGCTCAGCAGTAGACCCTTAAATGAAAACGAATGCAATAAAATTAAAAATGGAATTTTCTAATGATGCTTCATAACAATAGTTCTATACTTTGCACACGGAGTCTAAATTATTTTTTATTTCCCCTAAAAGGAAAAATTCAAACATTAGAAAAAGAGTTAAGATAAGGAAAAGTAGAATTGAGGGTAATTTCAGATTAAGCATGATAATACTTGACTGAATTCACTGATGGGAATTATATATTGTCCCTAGCACCAATCCATTCGATTTTGTCTTTTATAACACATATTTCAAACTGATTATCTACAAATTTCAAGAAGGTGAAAAAAGTTGTTTTATTTTTGTTCTTAATGAAAAATAATAAAGCACAAAAGAAATCCTGAATGTTTCAGGATATGCCTATAACCTGACGACCTTGAAAAGAGAGAGCTAGAAAATATCTAGGTTTGCTGGAACCTTCTGCCTAAGAAAAAATTAAAGAAACAGAGGATTATCTAGAGAGGTGAGACAGAGGGAAGCCGGTGGTTTAGAGGCCAAGTTAAGTTCAGGTGCACTTAAAGAGAAGAGCCTATTATCTCCTAAGTTCCTTCTGTTTTCATTTTTGGGGAGGAGGTGGGGTGAGAATGGGGTCACATAATTTTTAGAATCTGATGAAAGCTGTGATGGACTCTGTCCAGAACCTACACAAAATTTTGCAGATAATTTTGGGGGCACAGAAATTCATGGGTGCCAGGTCAAAAACCCTTGTTCTATAGCTGTAAATTCATTTTAGAATGCAAACATAAAGCAGGGATTCTCCACTAGGGATACATATCCCCCAGACGCTCTGAATCAGAATTTTCACATGCACTGGAATCCTTGGGAGACTCTGATCCTCACGTAGGATTTGGAGCCACTGATACAAAGAAATGCTTAAGAAAACCTATTACCGTAAAAGCCTTACATACAATCATGTCCTCTTATAAAAGCCCTTCCTAACTTAAACGTTTTCACCTGGTTATAGATGATCTTCCCAGCCTTCCATAATATAATGGCTTGATACATACTTAAAGTAGTTACGTATTTTTTAATAAAAATTTTAACAGAACAACCCTATAAATCCATATATAATTAGTATATTAGCTGCTTATAAGCACCACAGTAACACTATTGCTATTTCTTTAGCAGCCCATGCTGCTTTCTTTTTCTCTCTGAATACACGAAGAGAATAGCATCTGTGCTGTACCAAGTCACCAAATGAAAGAGGCAATTAATTCTATCTCTGGAACTGAAACGTAGTCTATGAGAGCAGGGGTTGGCAAACTATGACCCACAGGCCAAATGCAAACAGTCCCTTTTTGTGTGATTCATAGCGAAGATCAGTTTTTGTATTTACAAATGACTGAAAAAAGATCAAAAGAATAGTATTTCAAAACCAGACACAGCCCCCTGTTTATATGTATCGTCTCTGGCTGCCTTCCTGTTACAATGTCAGAATTAAGTGGTTCCACAGGGACAGTATGGCCCACAAAGCCTAAAATATTTATTACTGTGCCCTTTACAGAAAAAGTCTGCTGACCCCTAGAGTTCTAGTGACTCCAGACACTGTGGAGCTACATAATTAGTACACTGGGTCCATAAATTCCATAGTGAACAAAATGTTACAAACTAAACTCCCATATTTATGTAGTATTTGTTAAGTACATATGACTTCTACATGATTAATAAAAGGCACATCCATTACAGCATTTAAGTAATGCTGAATTGGTAATAGTTTATTAGTAATACTCTATTTTCTAAATCAATAGATACTCTAAGTAGAGTTATTATGTGAGGTTCTATATAACCTAAAAGGCTTAGATATAAACTCATGATGAATAAGGGCAAATAGAAATAGCAAACTGCAAGTAGAAGTATGGTAGAAATACACTAGTAACAGAAAAGTATAACCCTGAAGGGAAGGCCTTCTATTTGTATTTATCTGTATGCCAAGGAACTTTCACTTATGTTATGCCACAGAATCTTCCTATCTTCACTACAGAAAGGAACCAAGCCACTTGCAGATAAGAATTTAGGTCTTCTTTTCTCTCCTTTTATTAAGGCCTCAGCTACTTTATATATCTATTATTTATGCTGATAGCAGTACTTGACTCTCTTATTTTTCGAATAGCATAAGCTACAAAGAATTTAAACAGAAATTCTTTTGTTAACTAAATGAAAGACTGTTTTCACATACCAGAAACAGCAGAGTTAAGTGTGAGAGATGCAAAAGAAGAATTCTGTTCAGAGGTATTCATTCCCCTATCCACACTAGACCAAGCAGCTGTTAAAATAAAGAACGTCACTTGGAACCTTCAATTTGCAAAAGAAAAGGTGAAAGATATGTACAGATTTAAACTATGATAATAATATTTAAAGATAACCTTAGAAATTAGGACAATATAGCAATAGCTACTATTTACTGAATGTCTATTACAGGCCAACCTCTTCATACCAAACACCTCTAATCCTTAGGGTAACCCTGCTAGGCACAATTTCAGAGTAGTTAAATGACTTTCTGACAGCCAGAAAACAGCTGAGCCATGACTGGAACTTAAGGTCATTTCCAAAGCCTATGCCTTTCTCCACTTTAGCAAGCTACCTTATTATTTACCGTAATTATGCTACTACTTGGGGCCAGGCACTGAACTTGGTACTTGACATTCATTACAGCCAATCCTCACAACTACTGAAATAGGAGGTTCATACAGGTTAAAAAACTAAGCCTGATTTCCATAAAAGTTATTATGTGGGAAAATAGGGATTCATTCCAAATAGGTCCATTTCCAACTAGTCCACACTCATTCCACTATACTGTACTATTTCCTCAATATTTTCAAGCTATTTCTTACTTATATAAATGAGTATTTTAAGGAACGTATACATCCATGAGACCAGTCACACCAGTCTCTTCTTAGTGATTCACTACAAACCCAATTTAATATAGTTCCCTTTCAATTTCAACAAAGGTCCTAATCCAACTAGGCAGGAGCTCTAACCTGCTGCTTAATTTTATCTGTAGCAACCATTCAGCAAGTACCGTCTAATTTATGTCCTAATTATGAAAATGCTACGTAGCTTTTATAAGTAAATTGCAAATATCTGAAAAGGCCACAGTTTTTAACATTACTCGATAAAATCTGATGATCTTCTGTTAAATATGAAAGGATGCTTTAAAGCATAGACATTTCTGCTTTCTTCACTATGGAAAATGAGGCTGGGAATTTAGGGACTGTCTTCTTCCAAACAAATTTTGATATTTCTACACAATTTCTGGACGTTGTAGGGAAGAACAAGCTTAAAAATAATTATCAGTAAATGATCTAGAGTTTGCTTCTTGGGGACAATAGTCAACATGAATCTTTTTAGGCTTAAAAGTGATGGGAAAAGCAAATAACATTGGAAGAAGGTTTTTTGGTACTTAATCACGAAAAACTCTGCAGTGTCTTTTGCTCTCCCAAATAAAAGAAATAAAACAAAAATATCTGCAACAAGCATAACAGAAAAAAAGTGTATGTTTAACGTACAAGGAATTACAACTTGATTTAAAAAAAAAAACAAGAGGCCATTAGACAAATGGGCAAAGAACATGAATAGACAATTCATAAAATAGAAATGACCAAGAAAATTGTGAAAAATATTCAACCTCATTTAACCAGAACAATTTATGTATTTTTTGTTTATCAAGTTAGAAAAGATTTTTTAAATAAGAATACCCAATCTTGGTCAGGACAGGATAAATGGCACTCATATAATAGATGCTGACAGTATAAATTAGAACTACTCTCTTAGAAAATACTTTGACAACATGTTACAGAGCACTGTATGTTTATACTCCCTTTAGCCCAATAATATCACTCCCAAGAATCTATCCTAAAAAAAAAACAAACCCCAAAACAGATATATTAATGCCATGCTACTTACAATGGTTAAAAAACAGAAAATTCTCTTGATAATATGGGAATAGCTGAATAATTTATATGTTATGCTTATACAATATATTACAGGGCCTTCAACTAAAAATCCTTACAAAAAGGAAAATGTTTATGTTACAATATTAAGTGTGTGTGTGTGGGAGGGACATAAAAATGCGTATCTAATTTAGATTATGTAAAAAAAATTAAAAAACAAAACACAAAAAACCCCCAAAAAACTACACAGGAAAAAAAAGACGATTAACGAAATATAAAAAACAGTGGTTGTCACTGGGTGGTGTAATAACAGTGGGTTTTTCCTTCTAAGTTTTCCATATTAAACATGGACTTCTTTTCTATAACACATACACACACACACACACACACTGGAATTAAGCTGCTTTTTATTTGATGGCTCTCAACAAGAATAAGCTTCTCAACTATTGTCTTCATCTTTAAAACCGAGGAGAAAAATTAATTATATATACTGCAAAACAGTATAAAAGTGGATGCTGTAAACTTTTATTATTCTTACTTAAACTCAACAGAACTGTTGAAATTAATCAAAAAGTCTGTTCACACACTACATTTATAACATCACTAAAAATACACAATTATACCCCTTAGCTACACTGATAATCAGATGTGATAAAAGTATGTGAGAGCACTAGTAAAGAGCGAGTAATACATGCTATTATTGACTTTTTTAGTTACCACTTTGCTCTATGTGAAGGTTTGAGATGAGTTAGTTATTACTATTATTTCTGAATAGCTTTACTCATTTTTCTACTCATGGATTTTTTTTTTCATTCCTGGAAAATTCAAAATGTACTGGAAATAAGCAATTGTAAATGAACTTAAAATTTTCTAACACTTCTTACCAATGCCAGAAAATATTGAACGGTCACTCCAACTCCTTCCCCAGTCTTTTCCATTTACATTAGCATCTCCAGTGTCTTGACCCCAGGCAGATGGCTCACTTTTCCTCTTGCCTGCAGAAGCAGGTGAAACAGAATTCCACTTCTCCTCACCTGCACTGATCTGTGAGGAGAGTTTTACAGACTTTTCATTCCAGCCTCCTCCATTTACAGTGAGGTTTTCGTTCAATCCTGAAGGAACTTAAAGAAAAGAAAAGAAGATTAAAAACTGATACATGACTCCTTATGAAAACTGGGATATTTTCAAATTTGCTTGGTTTATATTTATCACTCATTTTTTTCCCCTACTGTCCTCTAAACAGCTTGAGCTTTAAAAATAAAAATGATGTCCTAAAAGTGACATGACCACCAATGGATGACTTTAATTTAGAAACTAAGAGTAGGCTTGAACTTTATATTTTAATGATGTGTTCAACAGCAGAATGACTTGCTCAAAGAAAGTACAAAAGACAGGAAAACAACACATACTCTGCTATGCTCAGAATACTCACCCACTAAAAATATGAACAATTCTCCTTAGTTCCATGTTCCGTTCTTATTTACACACACACACACACACACACACACACACACACACAGAGTATAAGGCAGTGATTCTGAAACCTGGCTGCACATTAAAATCAACTGAAAAATTTCTTAAAAGTAGACACTGGAGCCTCAGCCCAGACTAATTAAAATCAGAATCTCCAGGGGTGCCTGGCTGGCTCAAGTTGGTAGAGCATGTAACTCTTAATCTTGGAGTTGTGAGTTCAAGACCCATGTTGAGCATAGAGATTATTTAAGAAAATAATAATAAAATAAAATCAGAATATTTGTATGCAGGTATATGTACATATGTGTGTGTGTTGTTTTTCTAAACTTCCTAGATGACTGTAATGTGTAGCCAGGATTGAGAACCATGGGAATGAAGGAAGCTGACAGGGTTAAAATAAGCCTGAAACAAGAAGGTGCTTTTCATTTCTGAGTTTATATTTTACTACCACACTTTTAGTTTCTAGGTAAGGCATATCACTCTACTTAATTCAATCTTTATCATAAACAAGTAAATAAAATATATTTTCTAATTGTGAAGCACAGTATAACTTCAGACTGTAGTCCATTTGTTGTAAAATATTTGATATTGTTAAGGAAGCAATTTAAACGATTATAGGTATTAAGGTTTTTTTCTTAATAAACAGGGGTAAAATCTTTTATCCCATATATGCCTATATTAAAACCAAGTCCTCCCCCACCCCAAATCTTTCTTTTCTCTATTGGCTTACACAATGCAAGCAAGAATAAAAATCACATGTAAACTACTACTAAAAAAAATGTTTTTACATATGGGGAGAGGGAGAAACAACTAGAACATACCAAAGACTGTTAGGAAGTGGGAATGACTTTTCTTTTTTTCCATTTTCCAAAATCTCTGGATTGTGATTATGTTACTTTAGTAATTAAAAATCATTTCTAAGCCTTTTTTTTCCTTCTGTATCATTCATGTGAGGAAACAGACATGTATATAAGTTTCTATTTTGATGGGCCTTCAATTTAAGTTACATGTAATTTCTCTCACCCTGAAGTGTAGAATCTCCTTTTCCAGACTTAAAGTTGCTAACTTGAACATTTAGATGAGAATCACCTGGTTGAAATAGAAATAAAATTTATTTAATACTGAATAGGCCACTATGCACATTAATTAGGAGTTAACATATAAATTAAGTTTTCACTTATTATTTTTAATAAATTGTTTCTTCAAGTATTAAATTCTTATACTGGAAAAGAGTTTTACTCACAACACACTTGACATGTCCTTAAGGAACTGAGTTCTATAGTTACCATATTCTTAGTCAACTAAAATGGCAATATAGGAACTGGAAAATCTCGTAAGTATACGTAGAGTCTGCTGTTCTGTAATGCTTATGAGATTCTTTTAAGTAGGAACTGGAGAACTGGGGCTCTGTAATTGGATTCAACTTTGCCACCTCTCAACAATACCAGCTGCCTTTTCAGTAATCCTGGAAGCAAACACATCCAACTTAAGAACACTGCCAGTATTTGGGACCAGGACTTAGGAAATATGGCAAGAGGTACGAATACATATTATAACAAGGATACCATTTCTCTGACACTAAAAAGCATTTAATGATTACAATGTATCAAAAAGCCAGCAGACAGATTGTGCTAGCAAAGGCAGGCATGCACAAGACAGTGAAAAAGGGTCCCCAACAAAATGGAGTGCTAAGACATGGCTAACATGTAACAGCGAAAATGCATAAATAGAAGTCATTGCTGTACCAAAGCAATACATTTCAGCAAGTCATCAAGCAAAAAAGTAAAATACACCAAAGCTAAGAAAGTGGTCTGGAGACAAATGCAGGGTGAGGAGGCAATTAATAAAAAAGTGAAGGAAGAAAAGTCAATGCTCAAGTTGAATAGTATCACTCTGCAGACTGATGTCTCCAGGGTAAAAATGATGGCAATGTAAAGAGCTTTAAGAAGCCATCAGTACTGGATAGTGTGAGCACTTGAAATACTTGGGAAGAATATCAGCTCAACAACCTCTGAAGTTTCAGTCTAGCTTTATCAAACACCTATGGCATTCTCAAAAAGTTAGGGTGATAAGAAGTCCAGATAGAGCCTGCACTATCCAGAACATGCTTGTTTCATCTTGGAATGAAAGCATCCAACATGCAGAATGGTGACAAATAATTTTATTTAATAAGTGTCTTGTCCACTGTAAGAAATGGAGATGTAAGAGAGTTGGGGCAAAGCAATGCACACAAGAAAAAAAGGCAACATCATTTTCTCACGTGACTCAAGGCAGAAAGGCAATTTTAATTTAGCAGGCCATTCATCAGGCGTTACGTAACAAGTAACACTGCTGGTTATCAGGTAAACCAGTATGTGGTCCACAGTGCTCTCACGAAGAAGGGTATATCAGCACAATGATGTAAGCAGTTCAAAATAGTCAAATTTTGACATAATGATATTTTGTACATCTGATTAAAAGGAGCTGGATTTGATGTATGACTCTTATGTTCCACTAATATACCTTTATTCTTCTTGGAACCAACAGGAAATGATGCAGTTGTAAGTTGCTCGGTGGTAACTGTGATGGTATTTTCTATCCCAGGGATAGTTGAATCCAATGAACCAGAATCAGTCTGCACCTTATCACGTTTACGCTGCTGTCGTTTCTCTCTGTGACTAATTTTAGTTTCCCAGGCTCCTGACATAGCCCCAGAAAAAAAAGTGTTATTCAGTAAAGGGGAAGACAAAACGTTGTAGTTCTAAGGGGGGAAATGGGGGCAGGGCACGTAAGATATCATGATAAATTAAGAGAGTAAACTAAAAACCCAGAGTACTGATTATATTAATTTATCCTAAGAATTTATTCTAATCCCAATATGTTGTTTTAGGCAGCTAACTGCCATTATTATTTATTCTGGTAATTTTTATCAACTGTCATCTATGATTTAGGAAAAATGATAACTATAAGTCATCCTGTAGATCTTTTTATCCCGCTGGAGAGAATTGAGAGTGTTATAAATAATTACTAATAAATGGGTTTATTTGGTGATGACAATAAAGGGCTTCCTCAAGAATTTTGTACACAGCCTTCTAGGGATAGTGTATTTAAGAACAAGAGAGAAAAAGTCCAAATCATATTTCTAAGAAACAAAGACAAAACAATTGCTCAAGATACTAAGCTACACCTTAAATCTCAAAGTGGTTCCCTTCAGGAAAAGCACGATTAGATTCTTATAACTTAGATTAAAAAAAAAAAATGTTTTCTAACAATGTCACAGATCTGTACATTAAAATCTGTAATTATTAAAAGAAAACTAGATACAAGATTAAGCGACACAAATGCAGCTTTTATATAATGCACCACGGTAAAAAAGGATTAAAATTTTTTCTATAGTCCTTTCACTTGCTCAAGTACCTTCATCAACTTCCTTTCCATCATGGCGTGAACTGTTTTGCACTGCTTTAGCATCTGACTTTGATTTCTTCTTATTTTTCTTTGACTGAAAGTAAAATAGAATGTTACTTAATATTTCATTATGTTTTTGAAAAGGTAGGAGTCAGTAAGATACATAATGAAATGTATGATGCTGACAACCAAAAAATTTAATGTTTGATTAAAAAACTTAACATTAAATGGCAATAATAATATGAGGTTACCATTTATTCAGTGGTTACTCTATGCTAAGTACTTTGCACTCGTTTTCTTCTTTATTCCCTAAAAAAAAAATCACTAGAGAAGGTATTATTCCCATTTTAGAGATGAGGAAATGGAGACTTAGAGCTGTTAAATATTAAATAGGCTGTCTGGGGTCACATTAAGAGTTAGTAAATGGTAGAGTCAAATTAGGAAATAGGTCTATCTGGTTCCAAAGTCTGTGCCCTTAGAAACATGCTACCCTAATTTACATCATAAATAAGGTACTATAATATGATGTGTTCAGAATAAAATAAAAACCTACTGCTAATGTTCAGAAAGAAAATGATGCACTGATTATTGGTTTTTGGATTTCATAAAACACAGTTGGAATACCCTACTGTATAGCAAATTAGTGAGTCAACTGTACAAAGTAGATAATATTTTGTTGGTTTCAGAGCAATGTGAAAATACCTAGAATTCATATATGGTAGATGTTTAGTATTTAGTAATTCATTAAAGAAAAAATACCTACACACACAGAAGGTAAGGATATTTTGAAATAGCCTTCCAATTCCCTTCCGCTAATATTTTCTCTTCTCAAAAGTTCATTAAAACCTCATAAAGCCATGATTCCTATAGATTAGTGCTTCGAGAAGAGTACTAACATTCATGAAATAGTGATTTTATTTATAATTTGTATTCACACATTTAACTATTTATTAATATTGGCTACACATATGTATTATTGTACACTATCTTAAAGTTAAGTTTACCACCAAAAAAGATTGTATCTTGATAGTAAGCCTTTTTCATGGGTAAAGCAGTAAAGGATAGTTTGAGTAAGCAATGAATGACAGCTCTTCAGAGTGATTAAAAATTCTTTGACAACAGGAGTACACAACAAACTATTCAAAACAATGTTTATTTCCCATAGTTGATCTGTACTTGTTTCTTTGCATGTTCTCATGAACATCTATCATGTCTCGTGTACTGCTTTATTACACCTACCAAACCAGGCTCATATCCACTTTACAAAAATTGAGCTATCATCTACATACCATAATATTTATCCTTCTTAAGTGTACAATTCGGTGGTTTTTAGTATACTCGAGGCTGTACAATTATCACCATTGTCTAATTCCAGAATGATTTCATCATCCCGAAAAAGAAAGCTGGTACCTAGTATTAATCAGTCCCCACTACCCTCTTCCCACTGGCGTCCACCACCAGGCCACTTTCTGTCTGTCTGTCTCTCATATCCACTCTCAAGTACACACAATACCTTGAGCACTTTTCGATTACAGCCTAAAGTAGGGGTCAGCAAACTTTTTCTATAAAGGATCAAACAGTAAATATTTTAGGCTGTGCAAAGCATATGTATCTCTACATGTAGCAATTGTACAACTCTGCTATTATAGCATGGAAGTAGCTGTATACAATATGTAATTAAATGGGTATGACTGTGTTCCAACAAAATTTTATTTACAAAAATAGGCAACTGGTTGGATTTCGGGGGCCAGAGTTTGCCAACCCCTGGTCTAGAGCAGCACTGTCCAATAGAAATATAATGCAAGCCATGTTAGTAATTTAAAACTTCCTAGCACACAGGTTAAAAGGTTAAAAGAAATAGGTAACATTAATTTTAATAATATATGTAAATCAACACATTCAAAATACTATTTCAAAATGTAATTAATATAAAAAACTATTAATAACATAGTATGAGAAAGAGTGCTCAATAGCCATGTAAGTAGCTACCACATTGGATAGTACAGACCTACAGGAACTACCTAAAGTACCCTCATTTTATAGATGCGAGAACTGAGGCCATAGATTATATAAATTGCCTGAGGTCATAGGGTTATTAAGTGGTAAAATGAGCTAAAATTCAGTTCCAACTCTAGATCCTGCCCTCACAAATACTCTGCTATTCTGTCTCTCTACATTTAACTCTAAATACAAATTTAATCATGTATTAGGTATGTGATTTTGGGCTAAATCGCTCTAAACCCTTTTCCCCAACTGCCATACGGGACAAAAATTCCTAACCTCACATAAGGTCTTTTAAGGATTAAGTAAAATGTGAAAGCGGATTGCCAACTACAAAACAGTATACATAAATAAGACTTTTTCAAGGAAAGCAACTATGAAAAAAGGATAGAAATTACATTCACACTGAAATACTGTGATGTGTCACTAAAATAAAATCTGCAGAAAAATAAAGACAACTATCTTGGCTTAGGTCTTGTTTTAGTTACCTTTAAAAAACTAACCAAAAAATCATGCTTACCCAGATGAGACTTAATAACATATTATAAAAAGCATTAAAATGAATATGCATACATGCTACTATTTGCCCCAGTCATCCTACTCAGAGGAACACCTTACTTCTGGGCAGCTCCACTACAGTTAACACTTTTGAAGGAAAATTGCAAATACAAAGTTCTAGCTCCCTTGTTACCATAGTTCTTTCCCCCAATTCGTTGTCAGACTCTACCATGGAGCTAGCCTTAGCCTCTCTTGAATGGCTGGTCATCATGCAATCAAGATTTATTAAATACCTACAAAGTGCTAGACATACACTCCAAAATGCTTATTTGTAAATTTTACACATATCCTACTACTGATGATGTATACATGTGTAAAACATCAGAGCAATAGGACTGAATATGCTTCATTATTTTTGAATAATCTTCTAAATTCATGCATTTTAATACTTTAATACTTTTAATATTAAAAACTATCATACCTGACAAAGGTACACAGATCCATTTAAATGAAGGCCACGCTTAGGGCGCCTGGGTGGCTCAGTCGGTTAAGCGACTGCCTTCGGCTCAGGTCATGATCCTGGAGTCCCGGGATCGGGTCCCGCGTCGGGCTCCCTGCTCAGCAGGGAGTCTGCTTCTCCCTCTGACCCTCCTCCCTCTCATGCTCTCTGTCTCTCATTCTCTCTCTCAAAAATAAATAAATAAAATCTTTAAATGAAGGCCACGCTTACTAAAACATGACATTAATTCTTCCACCTCATCCTCTAAGTAGGCAAAGGTTTTTGTGGAAATATAACTAATAAAATTTAGTCTTCCTCAACACCAGGTGTTCCTGCAATTGAATCTGATGGTTTTACTTTATTTTGGCATTTTTAAAAAATGGATTCACTAAAAACACTTAAATTAAAAAAAGTTGGTTGTAATTGCTATCACTTATAGACCTTTCTAATTAACCCAGTTAAGTCTCAAAATAGCTCTATGAGGCAAATGCTATTATTTCCACTTTATAGATAAGAGAAGGGAGGCACCGAGTGGTTAAGCAACAAACCCGAAGATCACATAATTCTTAAGTGCCAGAGCTGGGATTTGATAAGCATGCTCCAGAACCTGGGCTGCTATGCTATTTTTCTGTTAGAAAACTGCTCCTGAGCTGTTAAATTATGCAGATATGATAATTTTCACAAGTAACAAATAATTTTTAATAACAAAATCACACAATGGTATAAACTTCTCAGAATACACTCTTCGTTGCATGAGTTTCTTAAAAAAAAAAAAAAAATCAGCTACTTTCTGACACATCTCGTTAAAGTTTCCTTAACATTGACGGGACAGATTAAGTACAAATTTTTCCCAAAAAGATCTGCTAAGTATAATCTGTCATTATAAAAAAAGATCAACATATTTGAAACACTTGAATTTTAGTAAAAGAAAAATGTGTGGCTCGCTTTTTAAGTTGGTCAGCTTTCTAAAAGTATTTTGACAAATATAATCAATGAATCTCTTCTTTGTAGAATAAAAGATGATTCCCACCTTGCCCTTACCATAAATTAAAGGCCTCATTTTCCAATTTACAGTCTGGCTTTACACCTTTTTTGCCACCACAGATTTCTAGAAATAATGCAGTGAATGAATTTTGTGCATGCTATCTCTATGGCTTCATCTCCCTATTCCGCAAATTTTATTTTTTTAAATTAAATTCCAGTTCACATGGGCCCTCCATCAGTGGCTTTTATTTAGTTTTTCCACACCAAAAAATTTAAATTAAGTGATCTATTCTTGAGAAGGTATCTTTGTATTTTTTTTTTATCTTTAGTTGCTCACAAAACTAGTTCTTTATGCATTTCATTACTGAAATAGAATATACCGAGTTCCCCAAGTGTAATGTCAGAATCATCTGTACATTTTTCCAATTTGCAATTTGCTCTGCTACTGATTTACTTAATTCATCAACAATGTTTTTATGCTGCACCCAACAGTACATGCTGATGAAAGAATGTGTTCCGGGTGATTGTCATATTGTTTTTTGCGATTTTACCATGGCAGAAAGAACAAGTGTTTCCCCACATATGTCTTTCCCTTTTTAAACAAGAAACCTCCAAGAGTGGCTTCTAAGCATTCTTAATTATATTTAGTAAAATTCTGTACTATTGGGTACTGCATAAATAATCATCTTTAAAAAAAAACTGCGGAGGCCAATCTTCACATTCTAAATGCTTAGATATCCTGCTGATTGAGACAGTTTCAGAATATCACTAGCTAAAATCTTAAGTCACAGTATAAATGGGCAAGGCTTCTTACCAGAAGTAAGAATATATTTGTTTCAAAAATCTTCCTTGATGATTCCATTTTTTGTGACCAATTTCTTATTAGGTCTGATTAAATCATCTTAACCTCATGATGATGTGACTGACAGAGGTCTTAGTAGGAATAGTAGTGCCCACTCTATTTTTCTGTTTATTTGCATTATCATCATCTACAGTCGGCAGCTTCCTAGCCTGTTCACTAAAGGTTAGTCTAGTTTAAACTGGGTAACACAATCAAGAAACCCACAGAGTTGAGCACACATCAATTGCAATCTGTCAAAATATATTATGAG